GCGTAGTGAAAGGAGTGATTGTATCGACTGTATTCTTGGTGTCGCTCGAGTGAAGAGTTAACGCGAAGTGCTTCGACATGGCCACCAGTTCCACAGATGCGTTTAACACCCAGTTGGGTAACAACATACCACTCTACAGTAATAATTATTCCATGGTGTCAGTGACCACCGGCCCCAACTTCTGGCCAACGGAGGCCGCGTCGAGTTCCACGTCTCCCGCGTCGGAAAACAATTGGGATGTCGACGAGGAGGAGGCGATCAAGAGGAGAATCTACGAGTTAAAGAGGCAGTTTCACAATGGCAGATATCTCATCATCAGACACCTCCCCCGCGATGCTACGGAAGAGGTGAGTACAGGCCGGACTTCGCGATGTTCTCCGCCTCAGAGCTGGCCAAGGAGGGGGGGAAGGGGGTTTTGGGCGGGGATGTGGACTTGGTATTTTGTTCTCTGTCTCTTTCTCTCTCTCTCTCTCTCATGTTCATCGTTTTTCTGCGACGTGGATTTGCGGTGTGCATCGTGACTTCGGGGAACACTCCATTCGTCGTGTGTGAATACGGGAGTGACAAAGAACACGCTGCGTTATGACAAGTGTAAACGACTCAAAGAACGAATCACACAAAAAAAGGGCAAACGAGAGAAAGGAAAAAAAAGAAAGAGAGAAAACAAATATAAGAAACACACAACATAATAACAAAAGCAAATAACACACCCACAGAACATAGGTGTTTTGAATCAGCGTCTTGTCCTGCAGCTCAGCATGTAGTCTAACACAGCATGTCTCTCTCTCTCTCTCTCTCTCTCTCTCTCTCTCTCTCTCTCTCTCTCTCTCTCTCTCTCTCTCTCTCTCTCTCTCTCTCTCTCTCTCTCTCTCTCTCTCTCTCTCTACTACAGACCTGTAAGTAATGCAGTATTGACCCGTGGTAGGATAAAGGGGGGGAGGGGGGAAGAGGGATAGTGAGCAAGAGCGTTATTTTTATAGTGTTTTCTTTCATAAATTTTCCCCCGAATGCCATGACCCTGATAGCACGGCGTCTACAACTATGCTTTACTCACTTTGAGACGTGGGTAAAGGGGAGAGAAGGGGGGGGGCAGTTTGCTAAGTGATTTATATATATATATTTTTGTTATTATTATTACCGTTCTGTGGTTGTGATACTTCTTTTGCACACTAGCTTGTGTGTGTGTGTGTTTGTGTGTGTGTGTGGGTGGGTGGGTGTCTCTGTTTCTGTGTGTCCGTATATGTATTTGAGGCTCTGTCAATGTCTCTTTTATAAGTATGTATATTTCCCAAGCTACCCTCTCACCCTCCAGCTTACACACACGCACACATGAAAGTGCCGACGACGCCTGTCTGTGTTGTGCAAATATCAAATTAGTGCGAGACACGGAAAGGCTCAGACAACTTCGATCTTGTATGACCTATGGAAGGTGTGGGATCATGTAACACAGAAGTCATTTTATTAAATTTCATTTAAACTGCCAACCACGCCCAGGGGGGAGGTTACTTGACGTGTGTGTGTGTGTGTGTGTGTGTGTGTGTGTGTGTGTGTGTGTGTGTGTGTGTGTGTGTGTGTGTGTGTGTGTGTGTGTGTGTGTGTGTGTGTGTGAACAGCAAGGCGTTATGAAGACTATGAAACTTCTGGAAGCGTCTGGTCGAAGGGGAGGTATCAGGCAGGGGAAGAGAGACGGGAAATTGGTAGCTCAGATGAGGATATTGTCTGAAGGAGAGAGAGAGAGAGAGAGAGAGAGAGAGAGAGAGAGAGAGAGAGAGAGAGAGAGAGAGAGAGAGAGAGAGAGAGAGAGAAACCCGCTAACAAATACGAAACAGTAATCATATGCGATACGAAAATAAAAAGAAGAGAGAGAGAGAGAGAGAAACCCGCTAACAAATACGAAACAGTAATCATATGCGATACAAAAATAAAAAGAAGAGAGAGAGTTAGAAGAAAAAGAAAAGTGAGAGTGACATAGAGAGAGAAGAAACTACTTTCGCTAACAAACACAACACGCTAACCTCAAGCGATGGGAAAATTAGGTAAAGTGTGTTATTTCGGGTGTGTACACATTGTTGAGTAAAGATGAAAGGGGGGGGGGATACGAAAGGGGTGTGTGGAAGTACTGTGGCCTTGTGGTCGGGAAGGCGGAGGGGGGAGAATGAGAGAGAGAAGGGGTGGATGGGGGTGAAGAGAGAGGGGGGGAGGGGGGGATGTACATGCTCATATGGCGCGCCGTAAACCCGACCATTACACAACCTTGAATTAATACAAGCTGTCTTGTTACTTGGATCTTGAGTTCACGCGCGAAATTCCACGTCGGGAGAACATGCTCTGTTAAGACTGTTTCTGTTTATGTGTGTGTGTGTGCTAGTGTGCGTGTAATAATTGTTTTTGTTTGTCTGTGCATATGTTTATAGATATTTGCGTATACAAGTAGGGAGTTAGATTTATTTACATAGGCCTACACACACACACACACACACACACACACACACACACACACACACACACACACACACACACACACACACACACACACACACACACACACACACACACACACACACACACACACACAAACACACACACACACACGCACACATATATATATATATATATATATATATATATATATATATATATATTATATATATATATATATTATATATATATATATTATATATATGTATGTAGTGTATGTGCACATTTTACGTTTATACATATATATATATACATATATATATATATATATATATATATATATATATATATATATATATATATATATATATATATATTATATATATGTATGTAGTGTATGTGCACATTTTACGTTTATACATGTTGGTGTGTGCCCCTCCCGCATGTTTGTGTATGTATTTAAAGCCCCTCCCCCCCCTTATTCCTCCTAAAAGTTCCTCCCCTCCCCCTCCCCCCACGCCCATTCCAGCCCGCCCGCACGCCCGCCTGCCCTCGTGATCTCCAGCTGACCGAAAGGGTGTTTGGCCTTGGCGGATCCAGTCTCCACGGCATCCACGGCGTGCGGGCCAGAGCGATCGCGGCGGGAGAAGGCCAGAGGGACGTCACTCCCTTATCCTCCCTCCTCCCCCCTCTCCCCTTTCTTGCCCTCCTTTTATCTCCTGTCGTCTCCTATCTCCTATCTTCTTCCCTTCCAACCTTTTGTCCCCGTTTCCATATTTTCTTCCCTCCACTGTTTCTTCCCCATTTCCCTCCCCTGTTCTCCTCTTCTTCCTCGTTTTCCCCTCCCCCACTCCCTTTCTACTTGAACCCCCCCTCCTTCTCCCTCCTTCCCCTTTTCCCCTATCGGGAGTCGTTGTCTTTGTCGCTTCTTCTCAGCTGACGGTTCATCTGGATGTGACTTGGCATTTTTTTTCGTTTTTTGTAAGGTAATTTAGGGAGGTTAAGGGAGGTTCGTGTGTGTGTGCGGGGGGGAGGGGGGTGTTAGGATGCTGACTGTCGTGATGGTACGTTTTTCTCTCTGTCTGTCTATCTCTCTCTTTCTCTCTCTCTCTCTCTCTCTCTCTCTCTCTCTCTCTCTCTCTCTCTCTCTCTCTCTCTCTCTCTCTCTCTCTCTCTCTCTCTCTCTCTCTCTCTCTTCCTCTTTCTCTGTCTGTGTCTTTCTTAAAAAGATTCATGTGAAGGTTTTCCTCTCTTATCACAGTATAATATTTAGAGACCATCCGATGGCAATGCTTCACCGCCCCCCCTCCTCCTCCACTCTCCACCCGCCATTTCCCCATTTCGTAAAAAACTTCCCCTTGGTATTATTTTGTTCAAGTTATTCACACTCCAAAAAAAAAGGAGAGGGGGGGGGGATACACATCGCCGTCGAACGAACTTGCTTTTGGTTTAACTTAGCGAACTCTACGCAACACCTACAGAGGAAAGTCGCCTGAAGAGTTGGAAGAAATGCTTTCCAAGAAACCCCGAGGCCTTCTGAGATGTCGGCCGACGGGGTGGGTGCCATATTCAGGACCACAGTCTCTTTTGTGTGTCGTTTGTCGGCCTTTGTTCTCGTTTATTTATTTATTTATTTTGTATTACTCGTTTGCGGTGGAGAGGGGCGGGGGTACAGGATTTGATATGGGTTGTTAAGCAAGATGAAAATATGTGTAAGTTCATGGAGAGAGAGAGAGAGAGAGAGAGAGAGAGAGAGAGAGAGAGAGAGAGAGAGAGAGAGAGAGAGAGAGAGAGAGAGAGAGAGAGAGAGAGAGAATGAGCATGAGCGTGAGAGTGGGTGAGTTTGTGTGTGTGTCTGCGTGGAATCGGAATGCCAGAACCCCGAGTTACCTGACCGTGTGTGGGCGGCAACAAGTCATCTCATACACGGAATTCGAACCTTCACACACTCCATTTACTGTGCTTTTAATATCGACGCTTAAACTTCGTGAATTTGTGAAAAAAATGGTTTGTGTGTGTGTCTTGTGTGTCTGTGTCTGTCTGTGTCCTTGCGTGAGGTATTTTAAGAGTTGTTATATGTTGAGGTGTTAGTCTCATTATTGTTACATTATTATTATAATTACGTTAGGCTTATTTTCACGCGACATGTGTATGTGTCTGTCTCTCTGTGATTATCATGATTAACTTTTAATGTATAGCGACGTCAGTCTTTTTCCTTGTGATTATATGCATGACTGAGTGAATTGGTGTTACAGTGCAATGTCTCTGTTGCAATTTTACGTTGTAAGTGTGTTGTATTTTTATCAAAAGAATTCAAAGCGAGGTGCATTTTTAACGTTTAGATGATTCTTTATAAAGGTCTGTTCTGTTGTTGTTTTTTTCAAATACAGTACACTGTTTCATCGTTACAAAAGGGTATTATTTAGTTCACGTGTTAGGAATTCACATTTATTAACCCACGCGCGCGCGCAAACACACACACACACACACACTCATTCACTCACTCACTCACTCTCTCACTCTCTCACTCTCTCACTCTTTCACTCTCTCACTCTCTCACTCTCTCACTCTCTCACTCTCTCACTCTCTCACTCTCTCACTCTCACTCTCTCACTCTCTCTCTCTCTCTCTCTCTCTCTCTCTCTCTCTCTCTCTCTCTCTCTCTCTCTCTCTCTCTCTCTCTCTCTCTCTCTCTCACCCCTCTCCTCCCACTACTTACACATATCCAACCAGTAACATTAAAAGATTTTTTGCTTTTTTTCCTTCTTACCTCGGGAATATGATACACTTACTCTCATGCCAATGGGAAGGTACTTTTCATCTCGCCAGGGAGAACACACACAACAGAACGGCTTAAGGAAGATGGGTTTCTTGGAAGCTGCGGGGGATAAGACATAGGGAAGAGGATGGTTTTCTGTTCCCATTGTGT